GGAAATTGAAGCCCCAACTCCTGCATCTGAAGTAAAGGAGATTGGAATAGATTCTCCTGGACTGACTTGGCTTGTGGAGTTGAAACAGTCTTCTACCGTTGAACATTTCACTTATACTCTCTCTCATAAATGCCTCAAAAAGGATTTGCGAAGCAGCACTATCTATGCCCTTGCCCATTTTGTCTGGGGACATAGTAATCAAGGCTTGGTCTTGGCTGACATTCAGGGTACGTGTTGATTCACTTTCAGATATAAACCACAACTGAACCACCCATTTCTCTTTAGGTACACCAGCAATTGTCGGACAGAAGGATGGCATGGTTCTATTCGATCCCATGACCCATACAACGAACGGGTACGTTTGATGCATTACTTTGAAGAAGTTCGTTAATTCAATTCAATTGTTTTGCCTCAGGGCCAGTGGAGTCGGTGACTTTGGTATCGAAGGGATCCAGAGCTTCTTGCGTGATCACACCTGCGAAGATATCTGTCTCCGCCTTCGACTTGACAAGACTGCTCCGTTGGTCATACCTGAGGATAATGATCCAGCTTCGCCCAAGGACAACAGTAATGGCAACAAATCTGATTCCGAGGAGTCTTGATCAGGTTAGGTGTGTAACCTCAATCTCACTCACTGTTTAACTTTCTTAACACTTTTTTAGGCTATGAATGGAGTGCGCGTTGAATTTGAACCAAAGTATTTATATATTCTTTGATCAGGGCAATTGCGGGAATCTTGTGCATGTTAATATTGAAATAATACCCACCGTAGTAGTAATTTTAATGTGAATATTCATTTCTTGTATCCCATGAATGTTTAATCGAGACCATTAAATGGTTTAGGCGAACATTGTGCCTGTTGAGTTTGATGTTACATTTTTTCATGGCCTGAAAGGTTAATATTCAAAAAGACGGGGCATGCATTGCCAAAAGGTGAGAAAAGTACAAGCACCATATTCCATCCTGATCTGACCGCTCAAGGCACGAACGGCAAGCTCATGTTTGCACATGGCGAAATATTGCGGGTACCGTGCGGTGTGATATTGCTCACATGTTGTGACCAAGCGCGCTAATCTCTGACACCGTAATTGAGGTATGATTGCTCTCTACAACATATATTCCAGTCAGGTATGCAACAAAGCCGCCTCGCACTCAAGTCTGAGGTTCACACTCAACGTAACCGATTCAACCGACACGAGGCAATCACCGGATCAACATTTCATCTGACATTGATCCATCTCTGATTGAAATCGAACCGCGACCAATCCGCCTACCGTACCTCAATGCGGTAACGATGGCGACGCGCTCTCACTCGCCGCCCGCTCCCGCCTCACGCGCTGCCTGCGCCTAGAGTCCACCCGCCCTCTCTTCCACAAGGACGTGCCCATCCAGCACTTGCACGCGCAGCGCAGCGTGGAGAACGTATTGCAGGGTACGCCTTTCTCCTCCTTTTCCATCAGCTTATACTGATTTTCTTCTTCTTCCATCTCTTTATTCTGGCACCGACTTTCATCTACCAATTAATCATGCATTAATTAATTTACTATGCGATACCGGCGCTAACGCTCCCAGCTCTCGGAATCCTCAGTACGCTCATCCACAGGCGTCAAGCGGTGACGTGCGCCTGGTGCGTTGGCGCGGTGAGTTGCTCTCTTCTCTCTGTCAGGTTTTGTTGTGCGGGCGGTTTTCTTTTTCGTTTTCCATCTTTCTGTTTTGCCTTTTGTTGAGCGGGTTTATTGGCTTTTCTCTTTTCGCGCATTTCGTTTCTTGGTTTCTTCTTTTTCTTTTCGGAGTTTTTCCGCGTTTCTCCTCCCTTCCTGCTGTCCTTGTTCTTCATTTTGGGGGGAGTCCATTCCCTCCCCCTTTTTTTTGCTTTTGCTTTTGCTTTGTTTCCTTCGTCCTCTTCCTGGTTTTTTTTTGGGGGGGGCCGTGCGACGACTGAATTTGCTTTGCTTTGCCCTGGGTGGACGAGTCTCGCCTTCTTTTTTTTCTGGTTACGTCCGTTCCTCCTTCGCGCAACCAAAAAGTCAGCGCAGGAGCCTATTTTTTCCTTCCTTCCTTACTCTTCCTCTCACGTTCTTCCTCTCGAGTCGCCCCCTTCTTCCCGTACGCTCCTTCTTCTTTGGAGATGTGATGGAGGAAAGTCCTGGGGCCTGTGATGGACCGGTGCTGCGATCGAGTGGGCCAGCCGGCGTCAGGGCGGCACGCATCGGCCGCAGGGCGAGGATCGCCCATCCCCTCAACGATGGACGGGCAGGAGGATGGGAGGCCGGCAGGCGGGGACCGTTCATTGAGGATTCGCCGGGGGGGGTTCTTTGGGCGCCCGCGATCTCGTCGCCGTGGGCGTGGCGAATGCTTTCGATCGTATCCCGTATTCCGTTCTCTCCCTTGTTCCTGCCCAGCTGTCGCCGATTCCCCTTCGCCTCTTTTGCCTTGCCTTGGGGCTAATCTCGATTTTCGTTTCTTTCTCTTATTCATTCATTCATTCATTAGATCTATATATGTACCTTTTCCCTTCTTGATATTCTTTCCTTCCTTCCTTTCTCGCTACCTCCTCCCTTCCCCGCCTCGATGCTAATACCTCCCTTTCACACAGCTCTCTCCAGCCGTCGCGAAGCACCGCATATTCGTGTTTGCGCCCACCCGCGCCTGTGGCCGCCGCTTTTTCCACTACCCGTCTTACTCGTAGCCAATCCGCCGCGCCCGCCAGCAGTTTTCTCGCATCCGCTGCCTCCACGCACACCTCTGCGCGGCAGCTGCACACCGCACCCACGTACACCCGCGATCCCTCCGCACCCCCACACACCCATCGCGCAGACAACCGTCCCACCTATACCCACGTCCCTGCGCACGCACCTCGCACGCGTTCTAGCTCGTAGGGGGGGCGGGCGTGAGGAGGGGATGTGCGGTCGTGGGGGTGCGGCAGGGCAGGGGAATGGGAGTATGTGGGTGAGGAAGGGCAAGGGGATGCGGTTTCGCTGGTGCACGGAGGCGGCGCGGCGGACAGAGATGCGCGGGGTGGAGGACATGTGCGTGAGGGGCAAGGGAATGTGGGCGGAGGGGAGGCAGAGAAGAGCGAGCTGTCGCGGAGGTTTAGGAAGAGGGAGCGGAGAAGGCGGGAGACCGCGCTGGTGCGCGGTGCGTGAGGGTGGGCGGACGACGCGCGCTGTGCCTGCGTATGCGAAGGCGGTGGCGCACCTTGCTGCGATGCGCGCCGCCTCGCCCTCTACTGCGACACTCGCCGCTTCGCACGCTGCTGAGCGCACGGCGACGCGCGAGTACCTCGGCCGGGAGTGCGACAACAGGCTCACGGACGAGCGGCGCGTGCGGGAAGCGAGGCGGCGCGTGCGGGAAGCGAGGCGGCGCGCGGGCGGGGTGGAGGTAGAGGTGGAGGAGTAGGTGAGCAGGGTGAGGGTGCGGTGCCGGGGGTGGATGGACATCAGGAAGGGGTGGACGTGCAAGGGCATCCGCGAGAGGTGAAGGACGGGGGGGTCCATCCGCACGACACGGTGGACGTACAGCCGCGAAGGGAGGATGTAGAATCGCGATAGGACGATATCGACTCGCGATGGGAGTCCGAAGACCCGCGTCGACGCACGGTTGTCGTGGAGGGGGTGTATGGCGATTCGGAGCGGCGTGTGTATGGGGAGGAGGCGCGGCGGGTGTATGGGGAGAAAGACGCGAGTATGAGTGCGGGTGCGTATGGGGATATAAGTCTGGTGGGGAGGAGGACGCGAGCGCGTAGTGGCACGAGGGGGAGATGGAGATGGAGAGGTGGCGGAGAGGTGGAGATGTACCACGCGCCGCAGTCGCCGAATAGTCCGTTCGCGTGGAACACCCGTTGGACTTTGGCGCGTATCCGAGGGTGGGGGGGCGGGAGGCGGATGCGAGCGGGGTGGCGGCGCAGATGCGGATGGGGAAGTGGGTGCAGACACGATTGGTGGGGACGCGCGCGCGCGCTGACACGATCGGGGACGAGGGCGCGGACACGGTGTTGAGGGCGTGCGCGCGCGGTGAGCAGGTGCTGGTGCACATGATGCGGGAGCGCAGCCCGGCGCTGTCGCCGTGGGAGAGCGGGTGGCTGCGGTGGCTGCTGGTACCATGGTGCGACGTACGGCGGTGGTGCAGGGGCTGGCGGAGGGGCTGGCGGAGGAGGTGTGGCGGGGGGTGGATGCGGAGGAGCTGCGTGCGGTAGAGCGGTGGGAACGACAGGATGAGGGGGAGTCATCGCGAGAGGGTGAAGATGAATCGCCGATGGAGAGTTGTTATAATGTGGAGGAGAGGTAGCAGTGTGGGTCCTTGTTCTTGGCGATTTGGGGGGCTTGCGTATGCAGCAGGTATAACTTATGCTGCTGATGGTCTGACGATCTATAGACGTAAAAGTGACGCGTTTGTCTTGAGCACTTAGTTGCTCACCCTAATCATAGAGGTCGCTACTCCGACATAAACCAGTACAGTGCATCTTTCGGCGCATTCGTCCAAACATATTATTATTTGTGCACCGTGCACCACTTCCTGTTAAGTTCACGACAAGCTAGCTTCAATCCGGTGCACCCTCCGTGTTATGAATGTGGGGATAAAATTCATAATAAAAGAATGGGGTCGGGGTGCAAAGAAATATTGAAACTGGAGAAGCATTTTATCAGGAGTGGACCTAAAAAATACAGCAAAAGAGTATGCTTTCTGGGCACCATCACATGCGGAGTCGGGGAATCGAACCCCCGTTGCTGCTTGGAAATGGCAATCCCGCCATATTTAACAGCTGTGCACCATGCACCACCTCCGCTTGGATCCTTTGTCGAGTTCACTGGTAAGTCGGGTTGAATGTGGCGTACCTTGGGCAATTATGAAACATCGAGGTTGAAGTAAATATCAGGTGAAGTTGAAATATTACGCGGACAAGATTGCCAGGAATTTCCTGGAAGACGACTCGGGACTCAGTCGCTGAAGATGACAAAAAAGGGCAAGGGAGGAAAAAAATTATCTTGAGAGACACACAATGCGGACGCGGGGAGTCGAACCCCGATTACTGTAGACACGATGTAGACTCCCCTCAACGTTTCACAGCCGTGCACCGTGCACCACGTTCGCTTATATCCCATCTTCAGTCGCATGCGATCTTCGTACGAATCTAGTGTAACCGTATAAATGTTCTTCATACAGCCAGAGTTGATGTTGAAATGAGTAGAGAAGGGCGAAAGGATTGTGAACTGTAAAGAAAAAATTCAGGCACTGAGGGTGCTTCACCATCCAATATATTGTCCATCCCAAAATATTAGGCTGCTGGGACATGTTCTCGGCATGCTAGACTCGGACGGCTTTTGGTGCGAAAACAGCCTGAAACCAGAAAACACCAAATATATAATATTTTCACAAATTCCTTTCTATCACTAATTGCATGTGCATTAACTGAGTAGATCTATCCACTTTGCATGTGAATTGGTAAAAAACTGGTTGAGATAGAAAATATCCCACACAAATTTTTTGGTTCACGCCTTCGGTATGTACTGCAATTAGCTGTAATCCCTCAAACAATGTTTGCATTTTTTTGGCATCGATTTCGCACAAATCTTTCAGCACTCGTCCAGGCTGATAGATAACTCAGGGTACAGTTACTTCCGAATTGTACACGGTGGCTGAAGCTCAGGGTTCGACTCCCTGATCTGACTGGATAGTCTGGGTTCAATTGTTTCGAAGATCACTGGAAAAATATGCCTCGAGCGAGATGTAAATGGTGAAGAAATAACTACATCAGCTATGTGATTTCCCTCGTGTGAGCTCTTTTCTTTCATTGGGATTGTATTCGGAGATCATATCGAGGTGACAATTTAACAGAAAAACACAATACAGGGTACAATGGTGAGAGAGTTCACGACTCAGACTCCGAGTCAGAAGTTTAAGCGTAGAACTCGGGCTTATACATGAACGGAACGCTATCGTGACAACCCTCCTGCGGCGCTGATCTTCTGTAAGCCCAAGGAAAGAAATTATGTATTACTGACAGTGGTCGACGCGGATCTGGCACCTGTCGTCGCGATGGTCTTAAATCCCGCCACGTTTAACCAACCACAGCTTCAACCTCCTTCCAGAGCCTGGACCGACCGAAGGATTCAGTTCGTTCGATGTTGGGGAAAATCCCTGCGAGGAACCGGCCCACCAAAGTCGGAGAAGAAATAGGGGAAGACCAGACATACAATCCTGAAAGCTTGTTATGGAGGACGGGCTGCTCATCAGAGGAGGGCGGTACAACGGTTGCGTCAAAGGTGAGAGCGAGTGTAATCAACTCTGGGCAATGTGTCGCAAATGCCCGAAGACTGGCGAGCATTGTGATGGGCGGCGAGCTCGAGTCATCGGTCAACTTGAGCTTGACGAGATTGGGCCATGCGCGAGCCATATCCCACACGGCGGCATCATCGAGAAGGAACGCGCCGCGCACAGATATGTCGACCTCGCGAAGTTTACTGAAGCAGAGTAGATGCGACAGTGTTCGGCCGTCGAAATCAGGACCAACCTTCGCCTTCGACACCTAAGCGCAGAGAGATCTTTTCTAGAGAACTGTGCATGACATGAGTCGAAAGTGCGGCGAATAAATGCTGAATGGCATGGTTCGAGATCCGGAGCATCGGTAATTGTCCCCAGATACCGCAACGGAGTGTTCGAGAACCCATTCACCACCTCCGTTATGAATGCAAGTGTCATAGATTGTGTCGAGAGATGTCGAAGCACTGGGAAACACGTGCGTCCCGCCGGGGGGAATGAAGGGTAATGGATCTCGCGCCCGTTCGGTGAGGCTTAGAGAGCGGAGAGTAGGAAGGGTGGAGAGGTGGTCGTACGCCGCACGATCAAGCGTGGGCAAGGCCAATTCCTCAATCTGGGTCAATTTTCGAACACAGGTGGATGTGCTGCTGCTGGTCAAAAGGTGTGCAGGGTCCGGCGAGCCACTGAAGATATCAAGGCGTTTCAGCGCCGGGTACAGGGGAAGATCAGGTAGGCTGGACCGGGACTCCAGCTCCAGGCAAATCGATGTGACGAAAGCGAGGGATAGGTAAGGAAGTATAGTATCACCCCTTTCATCCTTGAGGCACAAATCAAGCTGTCGGAGATTAGGGAAGAAGATCCCTTGTGGAAGAAATGGTTTCATCACTTCTAGGATGCGAAACAAGTCCAGAGTAAGTTCACATGGAGTCATGGACATGGATTTCACCCGTTTGGAATATAGCAACGGGCACTCGAGATCCGAAGGGGTAATGGGACGCGCAAGGGCCTAACAACGTTGAGCGTACGATTTAATGCATTAATGGAAGTACACACAAAGTCACTCTCATTCCTCGCAGATTCCTCGGACTCCCAGAGATCAACAGGCATGCATAAGATGACGTTCATGGGGGTGTACTGGTGCCGCCACATAACATCTAGAGCTGGGTGATGAAAGACGGTCGCCGTGCGTGCAAGTGCAGCAAGATCCTTGCAATGAACACGTGGATATGGATAGCCCTCTTCTTCGCATAGAAGCTCCACTAAGTCGGGAATCGAGAAGAAATGGTGCATTTGGAGCGGTGGTGGTGGTGGTCGCCGGAGTACCTGTTGGCAAGCATCATGATGATGTGACAAGATAGACTGCAATTAGCAGTGGGATTTGGAGGAGAGGATTTGTTCCTGCGGAACTGATGGCGTCCCTTCGGGACGTGAACGAGACGTTTGTGTGTGTGTGTGGGGGGGGGTTTTGGCCGTGCCCGGCCGATTTGGTTTCTACGACGCGGCGGGAAATGCGCCGGGAGAAAACAAGATGAGACGGAACGGAACGGGCACGGCACGGCAAACCCCGTACGCAAGGGCCACCAGGGTCTGATGCGAGACCCGAAGCAACCCAAGCGTGAGCTCAAAACAAACAGGGAATGGGAGGGTGGGGCAGAAAAAAGGAGCTTGAAGGCGAGGACGAGCGTGAAAAGAGCTAAGAGTTTTGCGCGGTAGACGAGCTAAGGCAAGACGCGTTGACAGCTGATGACAAATCCGTATCTAATCTTATCTACCTTGTCTTACACTCAGGCCGGCTCGCAAGCTCGCCTTGCCTGAGCTGGCACCAAGCCAAGCCGCGTCAAACATCGGCTTCTTTCAAGTCAACCACTATAGTCATTTCGTCTTCGACAACGGCGCATGGTCATAATTTCACCAGATTGCGGTCGCTAACCAAATACACGTTTGGTGAACTTCACACGCGCGACCAGAAGAATCAAGATACAAGTCAAGGCCGAGGCCTCGGGATCTCAAGGCGCTCTCACTTCTCTCGAGTTTAATAAATTGCTCCAAAATCGCAACATCTACTATCTGGTGTGTCATCTTGCGGCCCACAAGTAGCCCTCCGAACCACATAATGGCTGATATATATTGTTCTATCAGGTCGCTGCCACAAGCACCGCTCTGTACCTCATCTTCCCTTCTCGCAGCTTGGCCATACCTTCCTCTACCCCATTCCTTGTCAGTGGGAAACGCTCGATCATTGGCTGTATCTTGTGAAGCGCCGCGAAGTCCAACATCTTCCTGTGGACTCGGCGCGAGGCAATAATGGACCCCTGAATCGTCACGCCTCGCGTTACAAGCGGCAGGGTCGGGAACACGAGGTTGTTGTGGCTAGCGGTCAAAGGATAGATGGTTCCCCGAGGCTTCATGACGCCGAGGTATCTGTAGCCTATATCAGCTGCGTCAAAGCGCTCAAGGAAGAATGTCACGCACAAATTCCAATCCGGGAGGAAACTCGTGGTGACGAGCAAATGGTCTAGCTGCTTGCCGATGTTCAGCTTCTCGACGCCCGCGGTCGCATAGAATGCCCGCGCGCCCAAGCTCACCGCCTCTGTGCGCTTGGAGTCGGTGCTTGAGAACACGACTACATCTGCGCCCATCTTTGCGAGGAACTGGATGGCGAGATGTCCGAGGCCGCCGACGCCAACGACGCCCACGCGGTCCGTCGGGCGGATGTTGTACGTTTCGATGACGGAAAACACCGTCGCCCCGCCGCACATGAGGGGTGCTGCCGCCTCGGGTGCCATGCCCTCCGGGATGTGGAAGAGGTATGCCGCATCCCAGATTGCGTGCGAGCCGAACGAGCCTTGGTCCAGGTTGGCATACCCAAACCTATTTGTGGGGACGCTCGTCAGTGTTGTTGACTACTTCCCCTACAAAATGGAGCTCACATCTGTCTGGTTTCGCAATAGTGATCGTGCCCTAGTCGGCGAATTGAACTCAACACATGTACAAGGAGCTTTCGAGGCAAAGAAAAAAGCTCACCGGCCAAGCACTGCTCGCAGTTGCCGCACGTCTTGTGGTTGAAGCCCCACCCTACGACATCGCCGATCTTGAACCCCTTCACGTCCGCCCCGAGCTGCTGCACCGTGCCGACGCCTTCGTGCCCGAGCACCATATCCTTGTGCTTGAAGTGCTCGTCCGACCCGCAGATTCCCGAGTGTGTAATATTCACCAGTACCTGCGTCCCTGTCGGCGCGGCGCGGCGTGTCGTGCCCTCCACGATTGCGCCCGTGGCGGATCCCTTAAATACGGTGAATTCGATGGACATATCTAGCTGGGTTGTGCAATGTTCTAAATGGTGTGAGTGGCTGTGGCTGGGGCTTGCTGTCGATGTTTAGTGTCCGTTCATCTGCTGCTCCTATTTAAACCACGCTTGTTGCAGAGAAATGGTCAAGAAATGGTCCCTCCTCACCAAACACGGTACGTACATGGGCGGAAGCTCCGAGCTGACAAATTATTATAGATATATGTGGGTCCTGAATAAACTGGAAAAGAAAACCGGCTATCCTGGTGGTATGTACGATTTATCCGAGTTGGACTTTAAATTTAGCAGTCTTTTTTTAAGTTCCTTAGTAAGTCGGACGTTTCCGGAATCCCTATTAGATGCCGATGGTCGGCCCTCTCTGTCTTGTAGTATTACTGGTACTATTAGACAGAGGCGGTTGATAAATATAGCACTCATGCCTGTCCGTTTTTTGCGGCGTACCGTACTGCGCAAGCGGCAAGGCAGGTTACTTCTAATTAACTCTTAGTCATGCTCTACTCGTTTTTTTACTCCGTCTGACACTGGC